TCCTAAAAGTGTGGTTCTGAAACAATGTGGTTCTGAAAAGTGTGAAATCTGAAAAGTGCAGTCCTTAGTACAAAATTCCCTGGATCTGATCATCGGCATCTTTAAGTAAATCCCTATCCTAACATATGAGTTCCAGAATTATAAGGTTATCTGTCTGAATTAGTCCCCGAGAGGGGATTAACTATTTCTTAATGATGGGCTATAATAACTTTCCAATAGAACAAATATCTTTTATGTGTCTCTCTCCAGATGACTGAGGTTTCTCTCCTTGACTGTGCCAGACCCTCTCCAGGAGGGTTATTTTCCCTCAATTTAAAGTTTCGTATAAGGTTCTAGGTGGGGTTGGGTTGTACCTAAACCACCATCTTCTCCTGACACATCACAACCCAAAAAAGAGTCCCTAGAGTCCCTAGTCCAGAGTGGTTTGGGAGCAGGCCCGAAGCCAGAGAAGAGCTTCATCTAGAATGTGAGATCTAGATGCTTTGAAATCCACATGAGCATTCTTAAAATATCATCAGTTGTCTTTAAGGAGAATGAGTAACTTTGGGTTTGAGAACAACAGGAAGATGAACTCAGTGAGAATTCTGATGGAAGGAGCCATTTCTAGAAACTTGAGTTTGCTCTTCTCTTTCTTTCTCCTCCATCCAAACTCCTATTAAGGAGTGAGAGCCCATTATCAAAGAAATGCTGCCCCTGCAACTCTCAACAGAGGCCTTCTTCCTCATACAGATGTCCATCTGCTAGCCTAAACATTCATTTTCCTGAACAAGAAAAAGACAGCAAGCACCAACATGCATAAATGTCATTATATATATAAAGACATTGACCAAATGGTTAGAAGTTGGATTTTTCTCTAGTTCTCGGACCTTGATGACTGCCAGTGCAACATGAATAGAGTGATGAAGTGCTGACTGAGCCAAGTCTAATCTCTTCACTGAGTGTAGGGGAGGGATGGGCATGGAGTGAGCAGGAGCTGCAGGGAAGAAGTGTGGCTCTCCCCACCACCTGGGTTGCAGCACAACAAAAATGTGCCACCCTGATGTATCAGTCATGTGTGTGACTCCAGGTTATCAGCAAGGGAGGGAGGGAGGGAGAAACCCCAGAAATGTGAGGTCCCAATGTCAGAGGTTCCTACACCCCTTTCTGAGGTTATGTTCCCCTTCTTCCTGTACCCGAGATGTTGGTATTTGGGTTTCTCCTCTATCTGTTCACCCAGTAGTAGAGTGTCCAGTGACAGTCTTCCAGACTGGAGTACCTGTTCCCTAAAAGAGCTCATACTCCAGAGCTTTATCCTCACAATAAGAAATCCACAAAAGGGCTCTACTTGAAAAGCAGAAAAGCAAACAAAGCAAAAGGAATAATCTACAGGAAAGAAATCACTGAAGGGATGAGCCAGAAGAAAATAGAAATATAATTGTTTCATCTGTAGCTCACCAGAGCTACTCAGATTGACTGCTCTCACTCCTCTCAGTGAAGCAATCACACAGACAGTCCCTCCTGGGGACAATCACTGGAAGGCAGGTCTAGATATAAATGTGTTTTATTGAAAGAATCATGGGTTTCATTTGTGGAATATAAAGTAACATAATAGGAGAATAACACCTAAGGGTAGTAGAGATAAAGGCCAGGGGGATTGCCCCAAAGCTTGGAAGCCGATCTCATGTGCTGGGGTAAAAGGTAGGTGAGATGGAGAAATGACCACTAAGTAAATGATGGTTAGAGGGATCATTCAGGATGGTAGATGTGTGCTGAAAGTAGACTATGGACCAAACGTGATGGCTGCTTAGTGCCTATACGGCAAACCATAACATCCAAAAATATAGAGAAAATAAGAGGGAATGAGTCTGCCAGAAAGGCAGAGGGTGGGAAGCGGTAGGGGTGGTGGGAGGGATATTGGGAACATTGGTGGCAGAGAATGGGCACTGGTGGAGAGATGGATGGGTATTCGAACATTGTTTGATTGAAATGTAATCACGAAAATTTGTAAGTCTGTAACTGTATCTCACGGTGATTCATTAAAATTTGCTCGAGCGGGCCCAGTAACGTCTCCATTGGAGACTTTGTTGTTACTGTGTCTGGCATATCGAATACTCTCGGTAGCTTGCCGGGCTCTCTGAGAGGGGCGGAGGAATCGAACTCGGGTCGGCCATGTTGGCCGCTTGTAAGGCGAACGCCCTACCCGCTGTGCTATCGCTCCAGCCCTTTCATTAAAATAATTCATTAAAATAAATTTAAAAATTTTTTAAATAAAAGGAAGAACAAAAACTAATTAAAAAAAGAAAGAAGCATGGATTAACCAAAAGTTAACGTGAGACCCACTTCATAACTCACTCCCCAGCACCCCCTCCCCAACCATATGGGATAAGCACTGGGTCATGGAGGCACATGTGGATTGATCAGAACACTAGCTTGAGTTATTTCCTCCTGAACAAGGAAGAATGGGGAGAGGAGCAGCTACGGTGATGAGGTTTCTGATCTCAACTTGAAACCTACACCCAACTCTCAAAGTGGATAGGCATGTACTGGTTCTATTGACAGAGCACAAAGATGCATCCTACGTGTGGGTTGGAAAAGACGAAGGAAAAAAGAAGAAAGAGAAGGAGATGGAGAAGGAGAAGGAAAAGGAGAAGGAGAAAGAGAAGGAGATGGAGAAGGAGGAGGAGGAGGAGGAGAAGGAGGAAGAGGAAGAAGAGAAGGAGAAGGAGTAGGAGAAGGAGAAGGAGAAGCAGCAGCAGCAGAAGAAGAAGAAGAAGCAGAAGCAGAAGAAGCAGAAGCAGAAGCAGAAGCAGAAGCAGAAGCAGAAGCAGAAGCAGAAGCAGAAGCAGAAGAAGAAGAAGAAGAAGAAGAAGAAGAAGAAGAAGAAGAAGAAGAAGAAGAAGAAGAAGAGGAGGAGGAGGAGGAGGAGGAAGAGGAAGAAGAGGATGAGGAGGAGCAGGAGGAGGAGGAGGAAGACCATTTCTAATGACAGAGAGAGCAATTAGAGGGAAACCACTGTGAGACCAAGGTCTAATCTCAGTTGTGCCACCAATTAGCGTTAGGTCATGAGCAAGTCACCGAGTCCTTCTGAGACATCCAACTGTTCTTCTGTCAAATGAAGGAGCTTTGTCTGATCAGACATGGCCAATGAATGACACTCACTTTGCTCTCTCATATCTTCTAAAGAAGCTAGTCTTCATCTGCAATGGTTCATAAGATTTTCTACTAGAACTATATAAGCACTTCTTACTAGAGTTGGCACAAACGAACATGATCTTTCTCAATTTGATGATCTCATATGTCCCTTCTGGCTCCCAAGCATAAAGTTCAGCTTCCCAACTGGGAGATGATCATTTTTCTCATCTAGTAATAGATCATTCACAACAAAACAAAATCAATCTATGATATCTCAGGGACATAAGTGCTTGCCTTTGCCAACAAGAGACTGAGTGTTCAATCTGGTGCCACATGTCTGAGCATGGTCCCCTGGCTGTTCAGCTAGGTGGAATTCCTAATTCCAGACCCCTGCAAACGAATTCCAGCTGCAGCACAGGAAGGTGTGTGTTTGGGAACCATAGCAAGGGTGCATCCCCAGTGAGCACTGTTAATATGTGAACATGAGGCCAAGAAATGCAACCCCAGGAGGACTGTGTGTGAATACTGTGGTGACTCCTGGTGAGAATGTACAAAAAACTACAGTCTGTTTGTAACTCTCTCACGACCAGCACAGAGAGCAGCACAACTAACCTATCATTAGGTGATTCATGACAAAGAGATGGAGGAAGACAAAACCTCATCAATTAACCGTAACCATTTCATTGACTCCTGCTCTCCACCCAGAAGTCATTCTATCCTTTCTATGTCCAAATTTTTTTCTTTTTGGGTCATACCCGGCAATGGACAGGGGTTACTCCTGGCTCTACACTCAGGAATTACTCCTGCCGGTGCTCAGGGGAAGACATGGGATGCTAGGAACCGAACCTGGGTCGGCCACGTGCAAGGCAAATGCCCTACCTGCTGTGCTATCGCTCCAGCCCCATATGTCCAAATTTTGGTATTTCAGCTTCTCTTTAAGTTCATCCATCACGGTGTCCCAGATTGGAACATCCTGACCATGTCCCAGACTGGAACTCTGTGTGACCCCAAACAGCCATACATAATAGGTCTATCCCTTGGCTAGAGAGATAGTACCACAGGTAAAGTCTTGCACAGTTTACCTGGGTTCAATCCCTAGTTCCACCTTTGGTCCCCCAAACACTGCCAGGACGGAATACCTGAGTACAGGCAGGAGTAAATCTGCACTGCCCAATGTGGCACCAAAACAATAAACAAAACAAAACAAAACAAGGTTTTATCCTTGTATCAAGAAAACTACAGGAGCCTTGCCATACAGCTGACCTGTTCAATTCCTGAAAGTATATGGCCCTCATGCAGCCCTAGTACTACTGGAGCATGCTTGGCTGATAACAGAACCTTGGCATGTAGCTCCCAGACCTCTTGTACAGTACTTGGGAGAAAGAAAGAACAGAGAAACAGAGAAAGAAAGAAAGAAAGAAAGAAAGAAAGAAAGAAAGAAAGAGAGAAAGAAAGAGAGAAAGAGAGAAGGAAAGGAGGGAGGGAGGAAGAATGGAAGTAAGAAAAAAAGAAAAAAGGAAGTATGAAAGAGATAAATCTTTAAAAAGAAATATTAGTTGACTAAATTGATGAAATAGAGTGAATAATATGTATTTGTTCCAACTGTAACTCATCCAAACTAATGAGATTTACTACCCTCACCCATCATAAAGAAGTAATCACATATTCAATCCCTGAATAAAGACAACTGAAGGAAAGCAGGTTAGTTGTAACTGCTTTTATTGCAAGAAGCGAAGGATGGTTAACATGGGACCAACTCACAATGCACTTCTCAGTCCCAAACCACACAGAACAAGCATTAAATCAGGCACTACTTGAGTTATTTCTCTGGGATATAGGAAGTAAGAGGGGAGAAAAGCATGGGAATGAGGGTTTCTCTGGGGTGAAACCTACACCGAGCTGTCAAAATGGATAGGCTTGGAAGAATTTCCATCACAGACCACTAAAATGTGTGCTGTGCGTTGGGTGCTCCAGTATGCACAGTTGGGGTATTTGGACCCTCCCTTCAGGTTACATTGTGTGATACGCATGGAGGAACGGCTCTTATGGCAGTTGACAGTCCCATTACGGCATGCTGTGAGCTTCTCACGGCAAACAGCCCTGGCTGTTGCTCTGGATGTATGTACAAAGGTGTTCAACTTTTTGCACGAATACCAATTTATGTTCCGTCTCCACATCATCACATCACAGTAGCTGGTTTTGTTGCCGAAAGGATTATCTGGGTCTATGTGCTGTCTGTAGAATCTGTCAGCTTGCGATTCCTGGCTCAAGGAAGAATGGACCCATCCTGGTCCCAGCAGCACCACGACCAGCAGTGGGAACAAGACGAGGGACTTCTTCAGAGTCGGGGTGACCTCCATCGCCTGCAGAAACCTGGCAGCAAAGAGAGAGGGAGGAGGGAACACAGCCCTCCAAGATGAGAACCACCATTCCTGTCTGGGGCCTCCCTGGTCACAGTCTCTCTGCAACTCAGCAAGACCCCTCTGTGCCTGAAAGAATTTGCAAGCAACCAAACTCCCATATACACTCAGGAGTTTTTGATGCCCACTTGATTACAGCCTGCCCTCTAGATGCTGACTGCAGAAGTGACCTAAATACTGGCAGTCTTGTCTCAGCACGACAGGTTTCTGATCTTGTGATTTTGTCTGGTTTGAATTGAAAATACCTTGAAAAATCAAGTACACGTATACCTAGTTTCAGGGATTCTTAGAGAATATTTTAGATAAACCACAAGACAAATCATATTCCAAAGATAGCTTTGTAGCACTGTCCTCCCGTTGTTCATCGATTTGCTGGAGCGGGCACCAGTAACATCTCCATTGTGAGACTTGTTGTTACTGTTTTGGGCATCTTGAATATGCCACGGGAAGCTTGCCAGGCTCTGCCGTGCAGGTGGGATACTCTCAGTAGCTTGCTGGGCTCACCAAAGGGGACGGAGGATTCGAACCGGTTCAGCTGCGTGCAAGGCAAATGCCCTAGGCTGAAGCAATAGCACAGCGGGTAGGGAGTTTGCCTTGCATGATGCCAACCCGGGTTCGATTCCTCCATCCCTCTCGGAGAGCCCAGCAAGCAGTGAGAGTATTCTGCCCGCACAGCAGAGCCTGGCAAGCTCCTCGTGGCATATTTGAGATGCCAAAGACAGTAACAACAAGTCTCACAATGGAGATGTTACTGGTGCCCTCTCAAACAAATCGATGAACAACTGGAGGACAATGCTACAATAATTTTAAAGATATCACCATGAATCCAGGACCATGGCTCACAGAGTACTACTGTCTCACAAGCAGGAGAAACTCAGTCTGGTAGCAGACATGGGCATCATAAACAGATGTCACTGAATCCAAAGAGGAGACATTCCTTTTCCTTGGGAGTGGCACGGTGGCAGCCTCCCTCTCTCTGTAGTCAATGCAACTCACAGGGATCCTGTCCTATAATTAGCTGACGCTTGACATGCCCAAGCTTTTTCCATGCTAACTTTGGGCCCTCTGGTCCCTTCTCTCCAACCCCTAAGCCATCAGCACTCCTGAGTCCATCTCTTGGGTTGCTTACCTGAGTCTTTCACTTGGTCTCAGGGAGAATAACAGGTCAGCTGTACAATGACTGGATCTCAGGAGGATAGCCCTTAAGCTGATGACAAAGACCTTGGTTTGGTTCTTAAATAGAGAAGGGTGGGAGGGACTTCAGAGGTTTCCCTTCAAAGGAGAGCAAAAGTTTTGAGGAGAAGGGGGTGGGGAGTGGCCCATGACATCCTCTTTTCTGGGCTGCTGGGGAGAGTGAGCCTTTGCGAACAGCAGCATCTCGTATCACTCTTATCACTTATCTCATCTCTCTGGTGTTCATCTGTCTCCAGCAGGCTCAGAAAAGAAAATCTTAGAGTCCTTTTTCTCCAGTGCTAACCATGTCTTGGTTACATCTTTGGAAGTCATTTTCCTACATAGCTTTTGGACTTTAGCAAAAGACATAGAGCAAATGATCTTAGGAGGAGGAAAGCAATAGAAAAGCTCTCTCCCCTCTTTCCCTCTCCTTTTCTCTCTCTCTCTCTCTCTCTCTCTCTTTCTCTCTCTCTCTCCAGGTCCCCCCCCTCTCTCCTCAGGGGTCTAGGAGCAACTTTGTTGGAATTATATTTCTCCCTATAGGACCTTGTTTGGGGGGAGGGGGGCAATGGAGGGGAGTGAGAAGAGTTGTCCAGCAAGCCATCTGGGAGGCTTCCCACTTCTGGAGAACCAGAAGATTATACCTGAAAGAAAGGAGCCTCAAGAGTGATCTTAGCCAATTCTCACCTTTTCCTGCCCACACCTAATGGCCATTTTGTGGTATTGAAGATACGAGGGTGACAGTTCTTATCTATGGTGAGTTCTCATCCTGTGGTCCTATGGTCAAAGCTAAATAGATAAACTAAAGATTAGAAAACTGTCGTAACCCACGGAATCTGAATCATTTTTTAAAAAATTAGAGATAAGCAAAAAGTCAAAATACTTTTTGAAGAAAAGTAGATTGTGCTTAAGTCGTCTCCATCACTCGTCGTGATGGTGCTGGCTATTATTTTGTTGAGATGTAATTGTTGTATAACATTAGACAGAAAGTTACTAAAGAAGCTTTAATGCCTGAATTCCACCAACAGAGATGCTGATGACATGTTTTAAACAATTTTTATTGAATTACTTGTATTTATAATACTGTTAAATCAAAGTTTTTCATTGATAGTTGACTAAACACAGCACCAGAGAGCCCCTTCCCTCCTCCAGTGTCCAAAACACCAACTCCCCCGACCCACACACAGACCCAAGTAAGTTCAGTTCTACAGACAAAATCTCCAGTTCTATAGTCAAAATCTCCAGTTCCAATGACTTTGACGATTTGTTGTTCCCTTACTGTTTCAATGTTTAATCTTATACTTATACTTAACAAAGGTCTCTCTCTCTATCAATCTCTCTCTTTTCTCTCTATTTTGGGAGTGGTAATATGTACATATGTAGAGGAACAGCGCTAATCTCCTAATTTCACAAAATTGTAAATCAAAAATAGATAAATCAAAAATTTTTCCTTCAAAAACTATATCTCTTTATCCACAGGAATATAAATTTTATAAATTTTACAGCTCTATAAATTTTAAAGTCAATATTATGATAATTCTGTGATGATACATTTTAGAATTTACATCAAATATATAAATCCTACAAATGTAAAATTCAGTAAGAATGAAGAAAAAAATTTAATGGAAGAATCTGAACAGGAATATAGAAGCGTAAGAGTATATTTTATTCTAAGAAAGTGAATGTTGTCCTGTTGTGCTGAGGGCGAATCTTTGTAATTAGCTCCAGTAATCCTCTGAGGAATTAGGCAGGAAAATTGCTCTTTTCATTCCCTGCTCACTTCTTTTCCTGTCTTCCTTCCTTCCTTCCTTCCTTCCTTCCTTCCTTCCTTCCTTCCTTCCTTCCTTCCTATAATTGTGAGTGGTCTCAGCATGGTGGTGGCTGGTCCTGGAGGTCTTCGGCTGCCAAAGCCCTGGTCGGGGCGGGGAAGAAAGCTCAACCTGCTCCCCTCCAAGGGGCCCCGGCGAGGACAGCCAGGTGCGGGGGCAGGAGACTGCACTGTTCTCGGCCGGGAGCTGGTTTTTATAGTCTCTGAGTCTTGGCCGTTGATGGGATTACACAGCGCCAGGGGGCCAGTTGGTGGGTGTGACCCCCGCCTACTGGAATTTGGAGGATCTGGGTGGAGGATGCTCAGCCCCAATCCGAGTAGGCTTGGAGATCTCGGCCCCGGAACCCGCGTGGCTTTGTCCCTCTGCCAGTACTTTGGACAAACTGGCAGGCTACTGAATGTAGCCTGCCCACACGGCAGAGTCTGGCAAACTCCCCGTCGTACTCAATATGCCAAATACCAGTAACAATGATGAGTCTCATTCTCCTAAAGAGCCTTGGATATAATTTCAGGGCTAGGATGAAAGAGACGTTACTGGGGCCTGCTCAAGGCAATCGACAAATAACAGGATGATTTGTGACTTGTTGTGATAATTGTGGGAGTTGCGAGTTTTGATGCAGTGCTGTCTTGCAGCCCCCTAAGAAGAGGGGAGTATTTTCCCCAATTGCAAAACTGGTAAGAGTTGTCAACCTTGAGGTCTGTGTACTGGAATTTTGGTTCAGTGAACAGTTTCAGGAGACGTGAAGTCGAGCCCATTGAAATGGAAGAGTTGCTGATATAGTCTTAAATACTATTAAGTAGTCTAAAATTATACACTTTATTTTATTTGTTTTTAAATTTTATTTTGGAGGGATCACACCTGGCGGTGCTCAGTGTTTATTCCTGACTTTGCATTCTGGGATCACTCCTGGCAGACTTTGGGTCCAAATAAATAGATTATTTACATGTCAGTGAATTCTAAAAAAATTTGATTGAAAAAAATAGGGCAGATTTGGGATATTCATCCCTTATTAGGGGATATGACAAGAGGAAAGAGAGAAGAGATTTGATATAACAGAAGGGACAACTTCATCTTTATTCAACGGGTAAAAATATGAGTTTTCTGATAAATTTATGCTTTATAATATCTCCCCAATTACACTCTTCTGGACATAAAAGTAGGGACCAATGATTGCTTATTTAGTTTGGAAAAGGGCATAAGATCTAGACAAGGATAAGAGCTCCTGCTCAGTATCTAGAATCTTCACTGCTCTTAAACAATCCACATTCCTATGATGGTGACAGTTTCTCATAGTACCGAGAATTTGTCTAACCCTTAGTCCCCCATTACAAGATGACACTCATTGGAAAAGACCAGTTTGGGCATGATGAGAAAAACCTCTCTGACCCTGTGGGGAACACTGATCTCACAAGACCACAGAGATTATGCTTAATGATCTAGTTAATTTGTTTAGGATGGTGGAGGGATTAAAGAAAAAGTTTAAACTAAAAATATAGAAGCAATCAGTAGCCTCAAAAGGGATGGGGATGGAAAGATAATACAGTAGGAAAGGCACTTTTCTTGCACACAGCCAATCCAGGTTCAATCTCTGGTACTGCATATGGTTCCCTGAGCACCACTAGAAGAGACCCCTGAGCACAGAGCCAGGAGTAAACAATGAGCACCTCCACATATGCCCCAAAAGTCAAGAAAGAAAGAAAGAAAGAAAGAAAGAAAGAAAGAAAGAAAGAAAGAGAGAGAGAGAGAGAAAGAAAGAAAGAGACAGAGGAAGGAAGGAAGGAAGGAAGGAAGGAAGGAAGGAAGGAAGGAAGGAAGGAAGGAAGGAAGGAAATTCTAAACTTAAAAAGCTACTCCCAAAACTACAGATTCCATTGACCCTCCAAGTTTCAATTGAATTGTATACTACTTGAGTCCAAAAACCCAGAACCGTTAACACTT